GATGAGGGCTTCAGCGACAGAAACAGGAGGATCCTGCTCATGTTGGGGCTACTCACCTCAGACAGACTTATGTCAGACTTCCAACACTTTACGTTATAAACACGTCAAAATTTTTATTAAAGGAAAAATCCGATCAGCAAGAAATTATCATTGGATCGTTATCTACAGCTTAATATGTTCACGGTGATTTAATGAATTAAGCATAAATCAGTAAAAAAATAAAAACAATCATTTTCGTCGTGATCATGCCCAAATATAGTAGCCCCTCCCTCCTGCCATCTTCCAGCAGTGACGTCACGGTGCGGTAAGCCTAGCGCCATTCTCCCCGCTTTACAAGCTAAATCAATGGGAACTACTAGACACATCTGCAATCAACAACAATTATTGAAGATTTCCAGAGGACTTCACCATTGAAATTCACCAGAGCTATAGTGAAACTGACAATGCCCACGTGCATGGCAGCTGGATGCTGGAATACATCGGGTAAAAGTGAAAAAAAGAGTTATTCCACCTTTCTGATTCCTGATCCTCCACGGACGGGTTGGTCGTTGGATCGCCAACTTGAAGAGGGAGGATTTGCCATCGAACTTCTGGCCAGAGAAAAAACCCGTAATATGTAGCCAACATTTGGAAGAAGAATGTTTTCAAGATGACTTGGATAATAGCGCGTTGTGACAAACACCAGATACAGCACTGGGACTTGATCAACAGCCGATACCGCACCGTGACGTCACAAACCAGTAGGTGGCAGTAGTGTTCTTTGACACACATGGATGCCTCCAGTAAAGCACATTCACATGAAAATTACTCTGAATTAAAAACACTGATCATTTATTGAACAGGATGGAATCATTTCACATTTAAAGAACTTTCAGAAGTTTGAATTCTGAATATGAGCGACTTTTCCTTTAATCACTGCAGTTAAAGACACCAAGTGTCTATCCTGAAAGTTTTTTAGGTTTTCATCTAGAAGCCTAAACAGAATTCAATCACTGGGTTTTTGTTTTGTTTTTTTATTCCTACTGTAGAGCGAACTATGTATAGCATAAATATCTGCCGTCTGTCTCACTGTACTGCAAGGTAGTTGTCGCTAAAAGCTAGCATTTGGCCACACTTCGGATTCTACCGCGCCCCATGGAGGACAGAGTTTAATGGGATATCAAGAGTTCGCAAAATTAAATTGAGATACCTATGAACAGGAAAATTGGTGCAACATCACCTCGAGGTAAAAGATGAAAAGCAGCCGGTTAACGAACTTACGCAATTCAACAAACTTCCTGCGAATTCTCTAACAAAAATTTACATTAACAAAGTTAAGGGAGGAAAACACTCGAGCCAATTTAATGAATCAGAGGAGGAACATTTTGTTACGTTTTTTCCGAAAATGATCGACTGGAAGCTTAAAAACAAACGGGGCGGGGGTGACCTTTGAACTGATCCACATCCGTTACAGGGAGAAGAAGCTAGCCGACAGACGCCTGCTAACTCTTCAGCGTTACCTGCATCAGCACAGGTGAATATTTCTGACAGCTGGGAACAAACTTTTAGTCTTTATCTTTCTTTATGAGTCCGTTTTATTTATCTGTGAAACGCCAACAGAGCCTGTTCAATCATTTGGGGCTTTCAACTCCCTCCGTCATGAAAAATGCAGGATTTCTCCTCTTTTAAGTTGGTGGCCTTCAGAAAATTTCAAAGTCAATGCAGAGATCTACATCCTTTAGGGAAAACACATCCATACGTGTTGTAGTAATTCCAGCTCCTCTAATTATTGATAATAGACGCTAAAGAGGTTTAAAATGTCACTTGATCTTTTTTTCTCTTCTAAATTAGCTAAATGTTTCATGGGGGTTCTTCCTCTCAGAGTCTCATTCGAGTTAATTAGGAGGACAGATAAATATATACATCTTTAATGCGTTTCTACTGATGTTAGAAATCCACCAATTAAGCCACAGAGATCTGATGCTGAGCTCAATCTAACTGCTGATGAGGGGAATCAGCCTCCTTATCTAATAAATGCATATAAACAGAATATCCAGGCTGAATTTATTACTAAAAGTTAAAACGATCAACCTTCTATCTCTGCTGAGCGTCCAGCAGACTGGCTAGATCCCACCGTCGCATCTATGGGATGAAATCTGTTCCACTATTGTGAAAAGCTAAGAACACGTCAGAAAAATGGAAATTTAAGAGGAAAAACAGGCGATCTAGTGTTTTAATCAAAAAATGCTGAATTACATTCTCCTATCTTCTTAAATTTCAGGGCTCGATGTTAACCGTTGCCCGATCGCCCGAGGCAAGTAGTTTTTATTGTTGGGAGAGTAAAAATTTCATTGCATTTGCCCGCCAGGCAAACCACTCAAAGTTATCACTCAAACTTACTTTAAAATCGCCGACATTCGCTGAAAACGACCCACAAGCGTTGCCGGCGCCATTTTTTGTTGTTTTGTACACATTCTGGCGTGATTTCAAAAAGCCGTGTGATTTTCCGCCAGATGGCGTGATTTTTGTCCGGCACGAGTCAGACACATTTTTTTCAACTTGGCAGGCTAAAAACAACAAGGCTATTTCACCCACCACCCAGATAACCCTAGATTAAAAATTATTTGTCAGGGAAAATTACCATAATTGTATGTTAAATTGGTGACCTGTTATGTTATTATTATTATTATTGTCTTGTTGCTGCATTTATTTTGTCAGGGAAAACTAATCCTGAGTCAGTTAAAAGTCAGGGAATTCTGAAATGATGTCAGACTGTGGAAATCTGGTCCGTATTTTCCAGTTTCGCCGATTGAAACGATCCATTCCACTATTTTGCGCCAGTGTTCCCCTGTTTTGCATTTTTATTAAAACTTACAGTAATACTTGCACCTTTAACTGTTTACGGTTTTACTGCTCACTGTGCAATTTCAGATTGCTATTCGTAATTTTGTCCAGTTTGTGTTTATCTCTTAATAAACAGGTAAGTTTGTTGTTACCAAGCATTGCGTTATATTCAATCTCACCTAATTTAGCTGGCTAGATGTTATCAAGAGTACTAAAACCCTTTTCAACATGAGTCTTACAACTAAAGGTAAATACTTTAACTTAAATACATGCTCGGATAGGCTGGTATCGGCCAGTATCGGATCGGAAGTGCAAAAACCTGGATCGGGACATCTCTTTATATATATATATATATATATATATATATATATATATATGTATATATATGATGGAACGGTTTATGAAAACCGTCCGAACCGTTCGGTTCGACTGTCTCGGTTCGGTTCGCGTGTGTTGCGTTCGGTTCATGCGCTGCTCCTTTTTCTCATAGGCGAAGCGTTTACACTCCAGAGCAGAAGGTGGCGGTACTGCGACCAAAGCCAACCACCAGTAGTAAACAAGAAGAAGAAGCGAAGCAGCGTAGCCGGGTGTAGCAGAAAAAAATCAGTTGTGTGGAGAATTGTGTGGGTATGGCGAGTGGGAAAGAACAGGAGTTGGAAGACGCGCCAGCAGCACTTTATAGGTCTGCTGTATGGGACCACTTTGCATTTAGAGTGACCTACGATGACGGCGGAAAGAAAGTTGGGGATAAAAGTGCAACATTGTGCAAGCATTGTGCAACACGTTTTGTTTATGCTAACAGCAACATGACCAACATGTCATGCTAACCCCGAAATCCCTCATACTCCGTCAGCGCTCCGCCCCGCTGCGCTCCAGACCGGCTGCTCAAAGCAAAGCCTACAGCCTCCGCTGTGGCTCCCGTCCGCTCCGCTCTGAGTTCCTTGGAGATGGTAGAGGGCATGCGCCAGATGATTAAATTCAAAGCAGCAAAACATACGGAAATGATCCAGGGTTTCCACGGATCATAAAAAATAATTACAATCCATTATTTTTTGGGGGATTTTTTTCATTAATTTCATAAATTTTTATGGGATTTCGCTGTAACAATCAACATGTATCAAACCGAACCGAAAACCGTGAACTCAACTTGCAGATAACACTACAAAATCTGAGTTTGTAGAACTCAAAATCTATATGTCAAACTCATAAAACAAAGTTGATAGAACTCAGAACTTAAAGGTGAAACTCAAAAACCTAAGTTGGCAGAACTCAAAAATCTTTGTAAACTCAACCACAGTGAATTTAAGTAAGGAAAACTCAAAAAACCAAATGCATCACGTTGCCTAGAAAATTTAAGTTCTGTCAACCTCTATTTTTTTTCAGTGCATGATCTGCTTATCTGTTCTCCATTTTTCATTTGGATGAAATAATAGCTGCATGAATCATGACAGCAGACAAGATAGAGGAGAGCAGGAGGCGGGGTTACCAATCTACTCGCTCTGGAGAGCAGAGTTCGCTGCTTTTAGATGTTGTCTCCAAAGTCTCCAGTAGCAGAAAAAAGTCTCTAGATTTGGCGCTAGGAGCTTTTTAGAAATCAAAGTGCTAGAGGGGTCTGAAAAGTGGCTAAATATAGCGACTAAAGCGCTAAGTTGGCAACACTGCTCTTTGCATCGTTTGTTTTCAAATGGTCTGTTTGGACCTTTCTGAACATGTGCAGCAAATGGACTGATCCAATATGGTGGACACTGAAGGGGGGGGGGGGGGCTGAGACACACTTAGCATTATCAGCGTTCTGATGGCATTTTAGCCATTTTTTTAATCAAAAACATAATTAATGTGCACAAATAAGGAATAGTAGAATTAACTATACATATAAACAGAGTTTTATGGGGCCCCCAGGAACTTGAGGCCCTGGGCAACTACCTAGTATTGCCTAATGGTAAATAACCCCCCCCCCCCCCCCTCCTAACACTTTAAATAAACAAAAAAACCACTTGTTAGCCAGCAGCTTTAGACTGATTTAAAGATGGAGTCTCTTTTTCTTCATGTTTGTCAAACAGAGTTTGGAAAGTTTGTGTTTTATGGTGTCAGCAAAAAATGACTTCAGTTTAATAATAAAACAACTATTTTAGAGTGAATAACCAACCTGGGAGCTTTAATGAGGATCATAAACTTACCATAGGTGAACTAGCCTTCCGACCAAAGCATCCAGGAGAAACAGAAAAACCTCCCCGGGAAAAACCGGGCACTCCAAAAACCCGCAAACTCTGTCTGGAAAGTGTTAAAAACAAAGATGGAGATCGAGTAGAAGAGACTGTCTGGTTCGGAAGGGAAGAGAAAAAGTGAAATGACGGTGAAGCGGAGCTAGCGAGCTGCTCGGCTCCCTCCTTCCTTTGTTCCTGCTGCTGCTGCTGCTCCCTGGATTTATCACCGCCGTTCATGTGTCCCTGACTGCCGCTGATTGGCTGCACCCTCCGGATCAAGACAAGGTGAGTGACGTCAATTTCCCCCAGAACAACAGCCCGCTTCCGGTCACCGCGTCCACAAAATAAAACATATTTTAAAGGAATGCAGCTCAGATAAGGGAATGTTTCTTTATAATATGGATTATTAAAATTATTTAATACTATATCAATACATTTTTGCTGTGTTTTTTCGTTTGTTGTGTTATTAATTTTAAACCCACCTTACTTTGTGTTTTATTTTGAAGGAAATCTTTTTGTGTTTCCTGTTAATTTCTAGGTGTTTAGCCTGCGGTAGGGTGGAGGCACTTCATGCCTTACATAGTTTGATTCTGACCAAAATCAGGATATTCTTTTACTTCTAAAAGTAATGTCATTAAAAATATATCTATTTTCATGATCTACTTCTATGGAAGAGGATTAGGGCCACTGGAAAAAAAAAAAGTTAGCTGATTTTTAACTTTTGTTTCAGTTTAACATGGGGAAAAAGTCAGAATTCTGACCTTTTTCTCAGAATTCTGACTTTTTTATCAGAATTCTGACTTTAATCTCAGAATTCTGACTTTTTTCTCAGAAGTCTGACTTTTTTCTCAGAATTCTGACTTTTTTCTCAGAATTCTGACTTTAATTTCAGAATTCTGACTTTTTTCTCAGAATTCTGACTAAATTCTGACATTAAAAAAGTCAGAATTCTGACTTTTTTCCCATACTAAACTGAAATAAAATTTAAAAATCAGTTAGCTTTTTTTTTCTTCCGTATACTTCTGTCTTCTCAGTTTTAACATAAATTTAATTTAAAACTTTTATGGGTTAGTAAACAAACACAGAAAAAAAAATCAGTTTACAGCAAAAGATAAAGAATAAAAGCCAGATAAAGTGCAACTAAATCAGAATGTTAATCAGGGGATGAGGTGTCGCATACATGTAAAGTAATTTTAATTAGCTTGCAAACTATTCTATTCATTGTTTTGTTTCTTTCATGGGCGGTTCTAGACAGGGGCCAACAGGGGCCAGTGTCCCTGTAGATCATGTCCTGGCCTTTGAATGTCAGGTCATCTAAACACAGTTTATGCACTAAATATAGATAATCATTGTCAACCATCCGGCCACTGTTTTTCATTTTTTTAATTTGCATATGTTTCATCTTTTGCATATGTTCATTTCAGGTAGCTGTGGTCACACTATGTATTGTTTTAATTCTCTAGTTAGGATTATGACCCATTTTTGGGTCCTTTGATCAACCAGGATAGAGTCCTTGAGATCCACCATGAAAATGAAACTAAACAATAAATATTTATGTCGAAGTATTTAAGGAGGAACTTAAACTAAAAGTTTTCACTAAGTAATGGAGAAATCCAACTACACTGGTTGTCGGTGCTGTTTGTAATATCATTACACCCCCAGTTTAATGATGTTGTAGAAACATTTCTATAGTCACCAATTATTTAGGTCATGAGTCAACTCTGACACCTTTTTTTTGGGTCAAAAGGCTGAAACGTTTGAGAACCTTGAATCTAGCTATTCATGTGTGAAGACAAAAAGCCACCAAAAGGATAATGAATTAAATTCAGTTTAATCTACATAGCACCAATTCAGCAAGACCCTGGGTTCAAGAAGACACAATTAGCCACAGAAAAGGAACATAGAAGCAGTGATCTATAAATACCTTCTATGTTAGAAAAGTTCATGGTAAATTAGTTCCACAGGCGGCTCTGTCTGTGAAATAAACAGTTCAGCAGATGATCTCTGAGCCAGTTGTCGTGCCAAAGGGGAGGAAAAAGTGAACACAGTAACTTGCAGTAAAAGCTGAGCCCAAGGCTGTATCTAGGAGAGAAACGGGACTAAACACTGAAAAAGTTGTTGACAGCAGCAGGCCAGCTGATGCCTAACATCACCCGGCCAGACAAAGATACCAGGACAAGAGAAATAACAAATACTACAGAGATAGAATGAAGCAGAGTGAGGAAAAGTGGTCTCTGTGTCCTCCAGCAGTCTAAGCCTGTAGCAGCATAACTATATAAATCATATAAATAGGAGCTTTATCAAAAATTTAAGTTTTAAGACTAATAAAATTGTTTTTTTTTTCTCTTCCCACAATAAGTGCAGGGTTTAATTCATACCAAACTAGATTTTAAATGTTATTTATTACTTAATATTGCAAATAAGTATAAAGAATTTGACTTTATATTTGAGCAATCGAATGTTAGATATTTCAGAAAAGATGGTAAATTTAGTCTAAATTCCCCCGACATAAACTTGTTAACCAGCCCTTAAATAACTTAATTAAAAATCAAGCTGAAGTTTTAGCTTTATTATCTAGCTGCATTGTAAATCAGTATCCTCCTATAGTTGGTAAACTCTGCACAGCATAAGGAGCATCCATTAGTCCCTGAACAGATGCTATAAGGCAAAAATACTATTTCAGGTCAGAACTGACACGTAGACTATTTCTTTTCATTTTGTGAGCCCTCCAAGTCATGCCACTCTGTGCAGTCAGCCATTTGGTCCGTATCAGACAACCAGACCCAGGTTTTTGTTTTAGCTTTATGCAAAGACCCCTAATCCGCTTTCTTCTTGAAAAGTAAACGAGTTTACCCGGTGAGCTGACCGACCTGCAATCAATTAAAAACAACAACAAATGGAAGGCGTTGCCCTAAACACATCAGGTACTGTATGTCTGGCCTATGAGTCCAAAACACGACGCTGCTTTTTCAGACCGTTTTGCAGTGAGTCATTAAAGACCCATTTCGTGATAAACATCCTTTACTTACTTGCAGAGTTGTTCCAAAAGATCAATAGCACTCTCATTCCTGTCCATTAAAAGTGAAGTCAGGAGACACTGGAGGCATGGTTATGGTGGGGGGGTTCATATATCTATAATCTGTCACAACAAGCAGTAAAGTGTTTGCTGCTCAGAGGTAGCTTCAGCTGAACATGACTCATATCTCCCAGGCTGTGCAGAATTTCTCAAGTTGTGTAAGGGCAAGTCTCGTGCATCTCTTTTGTGCTCTGAACAAAGTTCTGGCGCTGCGTGTGTGCCATCCTGTCAGCTTCTAGGGGGGGGCGACTTCAAGGAAACCTTCCACGCAGATTCCTCCCCAAGTCCTCTGGCAGACTTCCTTGCATCAGATGTTTTCATTCCCTGTCTTTCAGCGTGCCCCCCCCCTCTCTCAGGAGCTCCCCTCCCCTTCCTTATCTTTCTCACAAAGTAACTCTGTTTGCCTGTTTCTTCACAGACCTTACATGTCACATCTTTTTCACCCTTGGATTACTCATGGATTCTATTATGAACACATAAGGGACGTTCAGAGCTGGAATATAAAATGGAGGGAATGGCTGAATTTTCTGTTGACTGTGGATTTGCTTACAGAGCGACGTTAGAGAAGAGAAATCGGACAGAAAGAGAAGGCATCTTCTCTCAGTTGTAGGATTTTAGAAAGTACAGAAACCGACTTCCTGAGAACTTTGCTCTGAATGCTGAAAGGAAGAGCTTGAAGGACCTGAAGGACTGAAGTAAAGTAGAACCATAATTTTTTCATAGTAAACCTGTCCAGAATAAATTAAACTTTACAAATAAAGAGGTTTAAATCCACGCAAAGGAAATATTCCAATCTGCTGTGTTGAAGGCAAAGTAGGAGGAAATATTTGGACCCACTCAAGTTCAATCGAGGGTTTAAATCAAATCAAATAGGAAGGAAAGTTGTTTTTAGTTGAGTTTTACTTCTTTGTTTTTGTTTTGAATGTTACAACATTTCTAAGAAGATAGATCTGTTATGCAGCAGAGTTCAGTATTTAGAAACATGCCAGGCCCCCCCCTGCCAAAATATAAACTCTGGTATTGGTGTTTAATCCAAGCCAACAATTCCCTTTATCGACCCCCTTTCAGAGACATAGACAGGTATGGTAACCTGACTCCGCCAGATGGATTTGCTCCGCATATCCATCTCGAAACCTTCCGTTGAAGTAATTTTGGGAAGGGGCGAAAATACTGGTTAGCTGATTGGTCTATGTTGGTGATAGACGGGCCAAATAAACCAATCAGATCAAGGAAGCATATGACGTACTAACAGAGCGACGACGAAAACAACCACAAGCCAGGCTACTCTTGCCGAAACCAGTCGGGAGAAGAGCAAAAACATCTTTTCCTCTGAGAAAAGCCTCCAGAGCAGTGTTTTGCTCTTCTTTCAGTGAAGAAATACTCTGTAATTCCGATAAAACTTGCTCGATAGCCACGCTAACGCTAGTTTCATCGGCTGAAGCCGCCATGTTCTTTAGACTGAACTGTCGCGCTTCTCGTTGAGTCACACCTCAACCCGCCTCAAAGCCAACGCTGATTGGACGTTCGTTTGGTGAACGGCTCCAAATTTTATTTAACTCAGTCTCCAGATCCAGATGCAGTCCCAGCAGATCAGTCTCCAGACTGATCTGCGAGTGAAACCTTGAAAGCTTGCGAGATCAGGATGGTCTCACAAGGCTAGGTCCAAAGGGGTGGACCCGTTTATCCTTTTTAATTTGCATGTTTTCTAGGGATGCACGATATAATCGGCCCCCTATCGGTATCGGCCTTAAAACTGAATATCGGACATCGGCCACCCCACCGATATTTAACCCGATATTTGATCAGCATCTGAGTTTCTAAAGTCTAAAAAAATAAATAAATACTACTTCTTCTTCTTCCTCAAAAACTTCTTTTTTACAGACTTAAAAACTTCTAAAGACGAGGGAAAAAATATTGATCCATTAAAATATCCCAATATCTTCATATGCTGATATATTGCCATTTAAAAGCACCATATCAATCTCTTTTACTAATGAAATATTGCTATATATCATCGTTATGCTACGAAATTCCCCGAAAATTCACGAAATTTTGCCATATTTTTATATGTTGATATATTGACGCGGTATCGATCTATTTTACTAACAAAATCTCACAAGAATTTGCAAAATATCACGAGAGTTTGTAACAGAATGATGAAATT